TTACGAAGGCAAACATATAACATTCTTATGCGATACCAGTTGGGACACAGTGACTGCAGGGGCCTCAGATAGCCTAGTATTATTCTAAATGTTTTAAGCACCTGCTTACTTGTTTCCATAGTTATATTTAACTTTACACTATATACATTATGCTTATTTTATGGAAAGAACAGCATGTGATTTTAAGTAGAGAAAATTCTCGAAATGTTAGTGGAACTGGCATTTAAACCTCAAAATTAATAACTAAAAAAATGCATCTAGAACACTAGGTTGCTTGGAATGCGAAAAAGAAGAAGAATTGTATGCACTAAAGGGTGATACGGTCAAAATTTGGTCAAGGGAAAACGCGTGTAAATCGGTGAAATCGTTTATTTAAAAAATCAAATTAAATTTCTTTTTCAAGTTCAATTAGTATAAAATTCAGGAAAAATATTCAGTTAGGCTTCCGCTTTTCCAAATCCGAATTGCCGGGCCTTACGCTTGACCCCTGCCATCAGATTTTGTACAGCCACCTTGTCCACCTTCTTCGCCGCAGAAAGCCAGTTTGCCTTGAACTGCTGCTCGCCCTTAGCAGTTTTTTTTTGGTCTTCTTTAGGTTCCGCTTGATAATAGCCCAGTATTTCTCAATTGGGCGGAGCTCTGGCGTGTTGGGAGGGTTCTTGTCCTTGGGAACCACCTGCACGTTGTTGGCGGCGTACCACTCCATGGCCTTTTTACCGTAATGGCAAGATGCCAAATCCGGCCAAAACAGTACGGAACAACCGTGTTTCTTCAGGAAAGGCAGCAGACGTTTATTCAAACACTCTTTCACGTAAATTTCTTGGTTGACAGTCCCGGAAGCTATGAAAATGCTGCTTTTCAAGCCACAGGTACAGATGGCTTGCCAAACCAGATATTTCTTTGCGAACTTTGACAGTTTCATGTGCTTGAAAACATCTGCTACCTTTCCCCTTCCTTTTGCCGTATAAAACTCCTGTCCCGGAAGCTGCTTGTAGTCGGCTTTGACGTAGGTTTCGTCGTCCATTACCACGCAGTCAAACTTCGTCAGCATCGTCGTGTACAGCCTCCGGGATCGCGCTTTGGCCGTCGTATTTTGTTTATCATCGCGATTTGGAGTCACTACCTTCTTGTAAGTCGATAGTCCGGCTCGTTTTTTGGCTCGATGCACGGTTGTAGACGATACACCCAGCTTATTTGCGGCATCTCGGAGAGAGAGGTTAGGGTTTCGCTTGAAACTACCGGCAACTCTCTTTGTCGTCTCAGCGGCTTCCGGTTTTCGATTTCCCCCCGATTCAGACTTCCTGGCTGTCGACAAACGTTCCCCAAACACTTTAATTATATTTGTAACGGTTGATTTGGCAACTTTTAGCGATTTTGCCAACTTTGCGTGCGAGTAGCTCGGATTTTCGCGATGCGCGAGCAAAATTTTGATACGCTGCTCTTCTTGCTTGGACGGCATTTTGACAACTGAAGAGTGAATTCCAAAATCAAAATAGGAGCAACATTCTACACACACACACCTTCAAAATGAGGGGTGTTCAGGTTTTTTAATTGAAAGAAATACGTCAAGTTGATATTGACCAAATTTTGACCGTATCACCCTTTATCAATGATTCTATTGTCCGCATCAGCTACGCAAGTCTCAGTTGAGCGGTGCTTCTCGGCAATCAAGCTGGAGCAACATTGGCTGCGAATGTCCTCACAAATGCTCAATGATTTGTCGTTATTTGTTATTTTGATTTTCAATTGATAGATTCGATTTGTAGTTTTATTGTTTATGTGGTTAAATAAATAGAAACTATAAAATGAGCATATTTCTTAGCAATAATAGAAGAAAAAAACCCACCAACCATTTTCCAAATTTGTGTGCCAAACTGGACCAACAAATTACTATTTTTTAATGAAACGCACAAATGTTGGCTACTTTTCTCGTGGTTCTAGAAGAAAAAATCTCAAAATAATGTTTTATTTCAAAGTTCGAGTGGTAGTAAATGTCATTTTAACTGCTCGAATGAAGTGGTTAATTAACATCTAGTCAGGCCGTTCGCAATGCTGAGTTTCAAAATTGTTTTAAACTACTCGTCAATTCTATAATTTGAAACTGTCAAAAATAAAACTGCAACACGATCAGCGCAACGCATAGTTCTAAAACATGTTTGTAATCATCAAGTTCCATAAACTTTACTGTTCTCTATGAAGTTCTCCGTTTTTTTTTTTGTGGAGCTCTTCGAAACATCTTCAACACATCCAAAGAAATTTGAAACAGAGTTCCATTCGTGTTTCAAACTCGCTCAGAAATAAAACAGAATAGTCGAGCAGTTGCAAATCTGGTGCAAAATAGTGCTCGAATAATGAAACTGCAACTCAGCATTGCAAGAGGTGCGTTTCTGTTCTAGTTTCAAATTGAAACAGTCCATATAAAATACAACAGCATTGCGAACGGCCTCAGTCGCCAACACCAACCAACCATTCACGTAAAACCTCCGAGTGCAACCTCGATGTTCGAGCACAGGCGCAAGCACGAAACATCAAGCCTGAGTTCATTTACGCTGCGCTCATCCCCAGGTGTTGTTCATTTCTCTCAAGTTCGATGTGCGTGTGTGAACATGAGCCTGAGAGAGAACACGCGCTCTGAATGAACTTGTACTTCTGAAATTTGAACTCACGCTCAGCGCCGTGCATGTTTACGTGAAGACTGCTGGAGGGACATCCGTTCTGCCATAGGTAGTACTGCTGCAGCGGCACTAGGTACTGCAATCCCGGACCGAAGACATTACTGGTTTGACGGCGAATGCAAACTGTTAGTAGAGGAGAAGAATGCAGCACGGGCGAGAATGCTGCAACACCGCACGAGATTGAATGTGAAGCGATACAGACAAAACTCGGTTTTCCGAACAAGAAGCGTCAGCAGGAAGACCGAGATCGCAAGGCGATGGAAAATCTGTACCGCGTAAACGACACACGGAAGTTCTACGAGAAGCTAAATAGTTCATGCAAAGGCTACGTGCCGCAAGCCGATATGTGCAAGGACTTGGACGGTAACCTTCTCACGAACGAGTGTGAGGTGATTGAGAGGTGGAAGCAGTACTATGACGAGCACCTCAACGGTGAAGCAGCAGAAAACGAAGGTGGCAACGGCAACAGACCTTGGAGCACGCGCAGAAGACGACATGATAATGGCCCCTGATCGGTCGGCTGAAGAACAACAAAGCAACTGGTGTAGATCAACTTCCAAGTACAGTGGTGAAGCACTGGCTAGAGCGCTGCGCTGGGTAATTGCCAAGATTTGGGAGGAGGAGATATTACCGGAGGAGTGGATGGAAGGTGTCGTTTGCCCTATCTACAAAAAGGGCGACAAGTTGGATTGCTGCAACTACCGTGCGATCACACTGCTGAGCGCCGCCTACAAGGTACTCTCCCAAATCCTAAGCCGCCGCCTGTCACCATTTGCAAGAGAGTTCATGGGGCAATACCAGACGGGATTCATGGGTGCCCGCACGGACCAAATTTTCGTGGTTCGGCAGGTTCTACAGAAATGCCGCGAATACAACGTGCCCACACATCATTTGTTCATCGATTTCAAATCCGCACAATCGATCGAGATCAGCTATGGCAGATTATGCACAAGTACGGATTTCCGGATAAACTGACGCGATTAGTCAAGGCGACGATGGATCGAGTGATGTGCGTTGTTCCAGTATCGGGGACACTCGAGTCCCTTTGAATCTCGAAGGGGTTTACGGCAAGTTGATGGACTTTCGTGTCTGCTATTCAACATCGCGTTAGAAGGTGTGATCAGAAGAGCTGGGATAGATACGAGTGGCACTATCTTCAGGAAATCCATCCAGCTTCTTGGCTTCGTCGATGATATCGACATAATGGCACGGAATTTTGAGACGATGGCAGAAACGTACATCAGACATAAGGCTGAAGCTAGGCGGATGGGACTTGCCATCAACGCATCGAAGACGAATACGAAATACATGAGAGAAGAGGTTCTAGGGAAGACAATGTTAGCCTCCCACCCCGAGTTCAGATTGATGGTGACGAAATGGAGGCGGTCGATGAGTTCGTGTATTTGGGCTCACTGGTGGCCGTCGAAAATGATACCAGCAGAGAAATTCAAAGACGCATTATGACAGGGAATCGTGCCTACTTTGGACTCTGGAGGACGCTGCTCGAATAAAATTCGCCGCCGCACGAAGTTGACTGTCTACAAGACGCTGATTAGACCGGTGGTCCTCTACGGCCACGAGACCTGGACTATGCTCGTCGAACGGAAGGTGTTGCGTACCATCTACGGTGGAGTGCAGATGGATAACGGAAGGTGGAGGAGGCGAATGAACTACGAATTGCACCAGCTGCTGGGAGAACCATCCATCGAACCATTGCAAAAATTGGGCGACTACGGTGGGCTGGGCACGTCGTAAGAATGCCGCACGACGACCCAGTGAAAATGGTTCTAGAAAGCGACCCAACAGGAACAAGAAGTAGAGGCGCGCAGCTGGCAAGGTGGATCGACCCAGTAGAGGGCGACCTGCAGACCCTTCGCAGACTACGAGGTTGGCGAAGTGTGGCCATGGAGTAGAGTGGAGACGACTTCTTCGGGCAGCAGAGGACAACAAGGCCTTAGCCTGATTGGTAAGTAAGTACTTTATAACATACGCTCCAAGGATTCAATCTACTTAGTGTTCGACCTAGAGCGCTTCGAAAAACTTACATGTTACTAAAATTATTGTAGGTACACTAAATTATGGAACATGATATGACAATTTGATACTTATCTTCGAGCCTAATAAATTAAAAAAAAAATTGAAAATTGATACATGCGCTTATTCTAGTTCACCATATTTAGCTGTTTGTATAAAATCGGGAAAAGTATGGTGGGCATCCGGGAAAAAACCGTGAATTTAATTTCCTGTATCCAGAGGCCACCCTGATCATTGACCACGGCGGTATCGTTTATTGCAATTACATATACCTATTATTCTGATTTTCAGTTAAGGAACGCACGCAGGAGGAAACTAACCGCTGCCGTCAGTTGCAGGAGCAAATAAACGCAATGGCCGTCACGAACAATGATCTGGAGCAACAGTTGGTTGAAGCCGACATAGCTTACCAGTCGTTGACTTCCGCCCATTCTGAACGTTCGAATGAGCTGGCCAAGTTAACCGAAGAGCTGCAGGAGGTACAAAAACGCATCGCCATTGAGGTGCAATCTAATACGACATTGAAGGCGAATGTCGACATGCTCCTGGCAGAGAAAACGCAACTGGCCACGGAGATCATTCAATTGGAGAACCGAGTGGCGGAGCTGGAGGAGGAGAAAAAGGTAAAACTGGCACAAATGGAACGATCGACAAACTCCAAATTGTTGAAGCTGGAACAACAGAAGGATGCCAAGTTGACCGAATTGGACAATGCGTGGAAGGGCAAATACGAGGAGGAGATGATGAAGGTCGATGCAAAGATCACTGCTTTGAAAACAGACAATGAGGACGCCAACAAGCAGAATGCCATTTTACATACAACTATCGAAAAGCTGCGTGAAGAACTTTGTGCTTTGAACAAACAACTGGAGCAAGAGAAAGAACAAGAAAAGAAAATGGATAGCAAGATCGGTCACGTAAAAACTATGCTAGAGGATCGGAACAACGAAATCTGCTCACTGAACACCAAGCTGAATAATGAACAAAAACGTTTGGAAGAGCAAAACCGACAGTTTGAGCAGAAATTTGCTGAACTTGAAGGCAAACTGAAAAACATTCAGGATGAAGCCGACAAAAAAGCGAAAGATCTCGAAGGCCAATTGCTACGTGCCCAGGGTGAAGCTGATAAAAACAAGACCGAAAACGAAAAGCTCGTACAGGATTTAGCCAATCACGCATCGAAGATAAGTGCCTTGGAATTGACAATTTTGGAAAAAGACCAGCAGCAAATGGCTTTGAAAGAGAAGCTAGCCGATGCCGAAAAAGCTCAGGCATCTCTAGAAGTGCCACCCAAAGCCTACAGGCAGGATAACAACCAATCTTCCGCCACCCAGATCACGTCCACTCCACTTCGACCCTCCAATTTGGTCGACAGCCTGGACATTCCGTCTTCGAAAAGAACACGAATGAGTGAGAGCGATTTGCTAAGCGTCCATTCCAGTATTTCCAACTATACCAGCTTCCAGGGCAGTGTCGATCGCAAACGTGACATGAGTCGATTCTTCATGCGTAAATCACCAACCCAAGCTAAGACCAAACCGGCCCCGAAAACGTTCTTTGGAAAGACCTCCAGAAGCAATTCGGAAGACGATCTGATCAGTTTGAATGTAAGTTGTGCGCGGTATGTTTTCTGTTATCCGTTTGGTTAGCTTATGTTCTTCTTTTAGAGTACCGTTAACTTGGACGAGGAACCGTTGGAAACACTGAATATCACCAACAGCGGTTCACCGATTCCAATGGTGAAGCCGTTCTTCCGAAGACAGGCGGAGAAAAAGTAACCTTTGATTATTTTAATTGTTGTTGCTATTTATTGTTGGCCCTCAATCCGACATGTGATTCGTTGTTGATCAGCAGTGCAGATTAGTTTGCAATAAAGAAGGTAGCAATGTATCTTCTGTAGATGTTAAGACTTGTTTCACTAAGCAGTTAGGATGATAAAAACTTTGTCATGATTTCTTGTTACTTATTTAAGCGTTGTTATTCGTCTTGGCAGTTGTAGCTTTTCCTTCATCTAGCATATAATACACTTGTTTTTGATACCGTCATAAAATCTTTTCCCCTTCCGATTCCAATGGGAAACTGAAGCGCGGGTAAATTTGTTCCCGGATGACACGCTTAACTTGTCTGTGTGTCTACCATTCCCATTATCGGTCTGTTTTCACCGTAATCGAAAGTGCGACTCCTACCATCGTTCTAAGTGTCTTTAATCTAGCTGCTCTTTAGTGGAAACCATCTCACAGCGACTTTCTCTATCCGGACCCTGTAGGGATCTGTATTTTGGATCAGTTAGTCTTCTCGATAGCTACCAACAGCTATTATCGCATTTACACAAACATACAAAAAGGAAACTGGAAAATGTTTTCTGCACTGCAATTTTTCGCGTAGTTGTCCCATTCGTTAAAACAGCAAGCTGAAAAAACGCTGTTGAAGATTTTTTTCTTCCTGGGCTCTTATGGATGGGACAACATAGTTTTGGTATTTTTCGCTACATTTTCTGAACAAAGTAGGAAAGTTTTCGTGTACATTGTAAAGTGATGGTACTTGACCATTGTAGAGTGATGGTACTTGACAATCGGTTAAAATGTAAAACTTATTTTCGCCAAAAATGCTAATGGGACTGTGCCGCACAGGGCAGGGCAGTGCAGCTAACAGGAAGTTACAATTTCATGCATGGTGTCGCAACAGTGTCCGAGATTTGTGCTCTAGAAAACTTAAAGTGATAGGCATATCTGCCACTCATCAAGGAATCACCAACCACAGACAAACAGACACTGCTTTCAAATTCCACAATGAATTCCCGTTTGCCGAGCGGAACGAGCTACTGCAAATTGGCTACCGTGGCAGATGGACAAGGAACCAATACTAATACATTTCTCTCTGTTCTTTTATTCGTTTTCTATATCCCTTCACCACCACCCTCATATCCCATCATCTTGACGAGCGATGAGTAACTCAAGTAACTGTTACTTGCATGGTGCACGCCCAAGTCGTACTACAGGGTAATATGGTAATATGCCGAGAGTGGTTATATCACAAAAACCACGCAGGAACGAAAATCCATGGAGCTGAGGAATAATGAGGTAAATTCTACACAGTATTTTAAGGGAGCCAACTCTAAGCAGGTAATAATAGCAATTAATAATCAAACAACCATAAAAAGGTAAGAATGAATTTATTTATTTTAAATACAATAATGACCCGATCCGATTTTGTCAGCCCTGGGCTTTGGCAAAACCTTGAGGTAGTTTAATTAGGCTACCAGGTCCCAGGGCTGATCTGGATCTTTACCACATTGGAAAGATGCACACTAGTGTTGCCAGATCAGTGTTGATGCTTACCAAAAGTGCATTTGAAACCGCTTATAAAAGCATATTAACAGATTAATCATCACCGTACATTGTTTATTGCTCTGTTTTAATAATAAATTATTAAGCACAGCATTTGATATTTTAGTAGGAATGCTGGATTTAGTCGCAGTGGAAATCAATCCTTTATTGAATTGGATTTATTTCTATGGATATGCACGTTTGGAAAGCATCATCACAAAGATTGTGCACTCGGTCTTCAGCTTGTGGGCGGGAAGCGTTGTGTTTATTTTTGTTTTTTTTAATCTATTTATAGAGTCAATTCTTAGAAATACGAAGCGAAAGACAAATCAAGCATTAAGCACAAGACCTTCAAGAAAACTAACAACACAAAGTCTGGAAATGGCAACGTTTTATTCAAAATGTCAAGTATTTCAAGAATATCGGGTGAGACCAATCGGACCGGGCGCTCTTTCGGTCATCTGGAAGGGTTGTGCACGAGGAGCGATTTTAATCCCCCCAGTTTTGAAGACATTCCGGAGCGAGGATCCATTATCTTGTGTCAGAGAGATGATGGAAGTGGCATATCCAGAAACACAATACAACAAGAGAAGGAAGTAGGATTGAAGGTAAACAAGGAGTTCATAGGAACGTTGAAACTGTAAGTATACTCCGATCTATTCTAGTACTCTTGTATAAAACCTATTGTAAACCGGCTAGATCGTAGTCGTCGTCACCGGGACGCATAGTCATGTGAAGATTGCCAGATCCGTGACCACTCATGATAAAGCACACAACATTAAATACATTGCACGGGTTGGGTCGCACAGAGGGTTGATAAGATGTAAATTGCTTAGAAACACCCGCATGAACGATAACCATAAGGAGTGCCTAACAACCTATTCGGGTTATCATCCCAACAATATGTGGTACGGTGGCACGATTTGTGGTATCGTTCAGGTATGGTGTTCCCCCACTTTTTATTAGGGTCGTTGACGCTCATTGCACGCTCTTTCGTTCTCCGGCTGATTGAATGGATGACGGAGTTTGACGTCACACTCCTTCAGACGTTTAGGCGGCGGGAGGGCGAGAGAGATGGCTGTTCAGTACATGGAGATAATTTTACAAATGTTTTTCTAATAGGTAACAGTTTAAAACTCACTAATAATCTCTTTCAATATCTTTTCATTTATTTTTATTGACGGTGTGATGTAATCGAGTTCATTTTTCAACGATACGATAATAACTTATTCGCTTTTCATACAAAACCTACCCAATCCTTTCCTTTCTACAATCCCTGAGCAGCTGGTTTACCATACACTCAGGCAAAAATAGCAAATGATTTTCATAAGATCCACCTTATGAAGCGAGTTTTTATTATTTTTTGTGCTTTCATAAGATTCTTATGTAATTCACACGATCTGAGCGAAATTTAGACGACACAACATTAATTTCCATACGTTCCGCACATCCATTTCATAAGCGCTCTTATGAAATCCGTATGTCACATCAGTGTGAAAAATCATAAGTGCTTCGTGAGAAAAAGAAAAATGGCGACCGAAAGTAATTTGTTGTCAGACCTATGGATGGTGTGAATATTCACATCGGTGACATGGCCCCTGACCCCCTTGTACATCATAAAATGAAAATGAAAAATGAAAATAATGACCCGATTTTGTCAGCCCCTCCGCGCTTCAGCCTTTTTTCTTTCAATAATTTCACATAACCATAAATCTAAATTTTTCTCATTCATCGTTAAGAGGGATATTTAAAGTATACTTTGGTGCAATAGGTTCAAGAAGATTACTGAAAAAAGGGCATGGGTTTTGCAGAACATTGAAAAACATTTTCAAAAAAGGGGGCTGACAAAATCGGGACATTACTGTATTCCATTTACATTTACATGATTTATCACATATTTATGGTCGTAATCTAATACACACATTTGATCACAATACGTGCCTAAAAGCTACAGTGACCTAGTGAGTACCATAGCTCGAGTCGTCTGTTAGTATTGTGTATCACATGGTGAGCCCAATCGAGATGCTAGCCTATTAAGACTGCAGTTGGTCAACTCTCGAAAAAAAAAGAGGAAGGATGATTTGAAGGCAGTATATGAAAGCAATACGAGGCACGAGGCAGCTTGTTGCAGGTCCACTTGATTCCTTCGGTAAGATCTTTGCTTTTTTTTTATCTATTTATACTTCATATCCATTAGTATTTAAGTTACGTCATTATCAGCATTAGCTCACCAAAACGATCCCTGCTGCAAACCTTTCCACACATCCAACATCCCAGTGATTTCTCGGGGAAGCGCAGAGGACTTCTCGGTTTTCTTCACAGCGAGTATTACGTCAACACATTCCTGAATGGTGAATGGTTCTTCCAGCAGCTGGTGCAATTCGTGGTTCATTCACCTCCTCGACATTCCGTCATCCATAGCACTCCGCCGTAGATAGCACGTAACAACTTCCGTTCGAAAACACCAAGGGCGCGTTGGTCTTCCAGTTCTCGTCCAGTTCTCGTGGCCGTAGAGGACCACCGGTCTAATCACCGTCTTGAATGTTATTCGACCGGAGGGTCCTCCGAAGTCCAAAGTAGGCACGATTCTCTGCCATAATGCGTCTTTGAATTTCTCTGCTGGTATCATTTTCGGTGGTCACCAGTGAGCCCAAATACACGAACTCATCGACCACCTCGATTTCGTCACCGTCAACTTTGGGTGAGAGGCTACAATGTTTGCGCTAAAATCGTTGGTTTTAGGCATATGAAATCTTGGAGAAAGTTTCTTCATATTTTTTGGCCGATCTTTTCATGTTAGTGAAATAAGGGTGGTCCTTAAAATTGGTAAATCGAAAATGCGAACTATTTTATTGTTTGAGATAGACCCATGCAATGTTCTAGAACGTTTAATTTGCAGCAACTTTGCTGAAGACACCAAATTTCCATCTCTTATGGTTCATGAGTTTATGATTTTTTTTTTTAAACAAGCAGGTTAGGATGGATCCTGAAAAATTGGTTTTCTATGAATATCTTTTCATACGTTCATTTCTCGTAAAAACGAACGATGTTTTAGACACTTTTAGAACTTTCAATGACAAATATTTTCAAACTTTAAATTCAATTTGAAAGATCGTTGTTTTGTACATTTATTGTGGGAAAACTGAGAGAGCTTGTTTAAAGCATTTAATTTTTTTTAATTCATATTTTTATGCGGCTTATACTTAAAACTAGAAATACTCAGAGGGAGGGATAGCCGGAGAAAACAAAATACAATTCGGCAGCAGGGATTTGTTCCCAAATATTCTTGCAACCCTTGCTAGAAGCTAGCATTTCAAATGACTTGTATTTTTGATTAGATTTACGTGCAAAATAATAATTAATTGCATCGCAATATTTTGCACATTTCTTGGTGCCATTCATTAATCAACGAAGATCAATTAATCAATAGAGTTAGAATATTGTTTTTGATTCCAAAAACTTGTTGAATTTGAGAAGCACACAAAACATAAAGGTGATTGAATTTCTGTTCGATTGCAATACTCTCAAATTTATTCTAGTAAGAATAAGAAATCCTCGGAAAAAAATCTAATGGGAATGTTCGATTGGCTCAGATTTTGACAGTTCATTTGGCTCAAAACATTCTCTCCGCCCATCTCTCCCTCTGAGTATTTCTACTTAAAACTAAGTCCACGTTTGATGCAATTCAAACTGGAGTTAAATTTGC